CCGCACCGTCCACCAGGCCGTCTCCACCTTTGAGGACTCTCGCAGTGCCAACCTGAAGGAGAAACGCCGCGGGAGGAAAGAGCGTGATGCCTCAGCAGCTATACCAGACCAGACCAGACCTGTAAATGTAATCGCTGCGGCCGGGCAGATGTGCATGTATATGTATGTATATACATAAACACTCTCTGGGTTTGATGGACTGATTATAGCGGACGAGCGGTAAAGCATGCGGGATCAAATGATGGTTTCTCCTACAAAGGGGGACGCAGATTTTGATCGCTGTCGGAAAACATATTTCACTGCTAAGATTTCTCGAATACGTAGGCCGATAAACGTAAGAGTTTAAATAAACTGTTTAATAAATATCCACTATAATAACATTTGAAGTAATAAAAATGTCGCATTCAAAATAAATCCCTTAATTCTATAAGTCAATTTCCGCAATCACAAAATCTAAAAAAGAAATTTCTTGTTCGCATACAAAAAAAAAACATAATAAAGACATCACAAAAGGATCTTTTCAGTAATTTCTTAGGAAACATGTATTAGAGGGGAATTGTTGTCTAAATACACAATTGGGCATACATATATTTTAATTTATTGTTTAATCGCAATTTTTAAAGGATAGCCATATTTGAGATGTTCCATCTTTAATAATTTATTAAACTTTGTACAGTGTAACCCGGATATAAGAGACCCGGATATAAGAGAAATCCGGATATAAGAAATATTTTCTCTGGTCCCAAATTAGAGCCTGTGTTACTGCATATAAAATAGACCAAGCCCGGATATAAGAGAAACCCGGATATAAGAGACTTCTTCTCAGGTCCCGACAACTCTCTTATATCCGAGCTACACTGTACTGTTTAATAAATAAATTAAAAAAGAAAATGTGAGTATTAACTAAAAATAACATATAAACAATGAAATAAAATATGGCGGATTAATAAAGGAAAAACCCATTCCTAAATATATATATATATATTATGAAATGGACAAAGTCCGACAATTATATACATTCTTTTTATAGATACAAATATTTAAGTAAATGCTCTGTTTATAATAAACAGTATTAATAACATTTACCGGCCTGAATGTCCGAGAAATTTTCATAGAAAATATTCGTCCTCCGACAGGAATCGAACCTGTATCCTATACGGAACCGTCATGTTGCCTGACGTGCCTTAACCGACTGAGCCACAGAGGATCGTTCGTCTAGAAAGGTTGATTTTACTGCTTTTAAACTAAAAATAAAAATGTCTTAGAAATAATTGTCGGACTTTGTCCATTTCATAATGTGTGAAGTCATTTGTTTACATTTGGATACGCATTGAGCAGATATGAATGTACGTGTGAGATTCATGGAAGATTGTAGATTTCTCGGACATTCAGGCCGGTAAATGCTATTAATACTGTTTATTATAAACAGAGCATTTACTTGAATATTTGTATCTATAAAAAGAATGTATAAAAACAAAAATGTCTTTATATATATATATATATATATATATATATATATATATATATATATATATGATCAGATTTTATGTTCCCTACTTGTCCTCAGAACGCTCAAAGGCATTTTCCTGACATCGGTTTTGTTATGCTTTCATTCTAACCTGAGGTTTACTTATATTGTCTTTCCCACTGATTTAAAAAATCATAATTCGTACAAATATACTATATAAAATCACTTTTTATTTATAGATAAAAAAGGGAGATAACTCAATTTTAAACATTGCAAGATAGCAGTTCAAATAGACATACTTACTCCAGCTCGTCCTCCTGCTAAGCAATCGGCAATTCCATCTTTATTTAAGTCTGCATTGCAATTGAGTCCGTAGACTTCGTGAGGAGTGTAATGTCTCCAGAGTTCTTTACCCGTTCGTCCTTCCAGTGCCATCACACCACCAAAACATGGGGTCGAGCCATTAAAGTATATTTTACAAACAATGTTGGGAACGTTTCGGCCATCTGCGCCTAGTGATAATAAAGCATAAAACAAAATGAATTTTTCAGAAAATCTACATTCCATACAACAACTGTATTGTATTCAAACTAATTCTCTTCTTCAGAGACACTTTAACACCGTCAGGTCTCTGTCAGATGAAGTAATATCCAAGAACCGTCTGCTTAAAATTCTATAAACCTTTGCTCAAGAGTATAAAGTCTTGTAGTCTTAGCCTAAGAAAGTAATGCTCTCTAACATCAAAATCTGTAATCCGAAGAGAGCATATGAAATTAAGCATAGCTGATCATGTGTAGTGAGAGAATTATGAGTATACAAATTAGAGTTTATGATAATCTTCTCAGTATGTCTAACATATAATATAACGTCCCATAAACGTCTTTAATTAGGAATGAACTCATATTAGTAGTTGTAATGTGCTAAAATTCTAACAGCAGATTATACAGGGTGTCTCTAAAGTTTGGAAACATAAATTTCTCATCTGGCCAAAATTTTTTACCTCCACAGATTAGACATGGTTTTGTCGAAAGAAGAAAGAATTATTTTTCTAGGGCATGCTAAAGGAGACGCAACACACTTGATTGACCACATAAAGAGCGAATGTTCTAAAATTTACGGCAAATTGGATTTATTGCATCGAGATCATGTGTATCTTGCAAAGCAAATCAACCTTTGCATTAGAAATGATGGAAATCATATTGAGAATATATTTTTTTAATATTCCAATTCAATAAAATATTCAAATTTCTTGAAAATATGCATTTTTGCCTATGTGTCCAGATTTCAAGGACACGCCCTGTAGTACGAAAAAATGAGCAAGCAGATGAAACAATTGGGCAAGTATATAGTTAGACCTCGAACTAGTAAAATAAGAAGAGGCACTGAAATGATGGATTAGCTAAGAAGAAATTAACTAATCCGAGATTATCCGTTATCTTAGGCATCAGAAGTAAAATAATCTATTCCCATGTATTAAATAACTGGTTCACATCTAACTTCCAGAAGATTACAAAATACGGCAGGCATCTGAAGAAGAACGAATGTTACAACTAATGAAACCTTTTCGTGATAAAACGTAAAGCACAAGTTTAAATAAATCATTCTAAAATAATAATAATGATAGGCAAAGTCTGTTGATAGAAAATTAAGAGCACTTGGACCTGTTCAAACCTTATGATAAATCTGAAGATTTTAAGACAAAATTGCTATCGCTTAGTCTTAACAGATAGCCATAACATACCTGCTATAAATAATAATAACAACAACAACAACAATAATAATAATAGTTTCCTAGATTAATTGAATGGATGTGTTAATAAGTACATTATAAGAGAATTGTTATCGCTTAGTCTTCACAGATAACCATAATATACCTGCTATACATAATAATAATAATAATACTAATAATGACAACAAAAATAATAATAATAATAATTTCTTATATTAGTTGAGTGGATGTGTTAATATGTACATTTTAAAAGAATTGCTATCGCTTAACCTTCACAGATAGCCATAACATACTTGCTATAATTAATAATAATAATAATAACATTGACAACAACATTATTATCAATAATAATAATAGTTTCCGATATCTATTTTGTCTTGGCCACTGTAATCGTACTTGTGAACTTTCCTTGTTGGTACCTCAACTAAGCGAATTTAAACGCAGTACTAGATTGAGCGGATTTAAAAATCATAGTTAAGGAAGCTAATCCTTTACCAGTCAAAACTCAATCTTGGGGTTGAAACTATTACTAATCCGGAACACTGATAATATCACAAAGAAAAACGTATGAATTATACAAAGACGTACATGAAAACTAATTACACAGAAGTGACATCTCGTATTGGCTGTAAATATAGATTGGATGAATTTGATGGTTGTGCTGGAGTTGGGTCTTTTTTGGAAATAGCTTAGAAGACAGGCAAAAGATGGAATACATTTAGCAACAACTAAAGTGGATCACCTAAACTACATCACCTCAAGTAATGTAGTTTCTGTTATTTGGTCACCAGTCCACAAGTTTCGAAGAAATGTCGTCTTCAACAAAACCCACAAGCTTTACTCGCTAAAAGCTATTTTTCATCCTTTATCTTAAAGAGCGGTTTTATACATCTGACAGTCTAGATATTTCTGAACGCGGATGGCACCATAAAAAAATAATCTAACAAAGAAGATCTTTGGACGGCAATAAAACTACTCTAAGTAACATGAAAAAAATTAGACCATAATCACAGGTTAACAGTAATATATATATATATATATATATATATATATATATATATAACAATTTGAGTAAGTGCATTAATTCATCTGGATCTGCGTTAGCTGAGCATTTAATTAACAATTATCAAAGCGCTAGATCCGATATCCAAGACATGCTCTCGATATTGTGTAAGGCTAATTCTGATTTTCACCTTTTAGGTGAAAACCAGAGTGAAGTTTTCATAGTCAATTTATATTAAGTCTGTAAACAGGATTGCCTGTTACGTTTAAATATAATTACTCTTTGATGTTTATATATTTATTATATAATATCCTATTTCTGGTAATCTTGATTTTAATCGTTGTACTCATGTGAAACGACAAACCGTTGTTACAATGTGTTCTTTTTAATCGCAATTATAAAAGAATATATTGCATTTTGTATGCATAATAAAACCAGACAACTCAATATCTTAATATTATTATATTTAATAAGGATAGTATATTATGTTAATATTATTAGCTTTTAATAAGGATAGAATATCATGAGCTGAAATACATATGACGTGTTACTAATATAAATACTATATATTGTATATATTATATTACTAATATAAATACTATATATTATATTCATATTATATTACTAATATAAATATGTCCTAAAATTTTACCAAATCTGTACCAAATTCTGCTGTGAAAATACTGACTTGCATAATGAAATCTTAACAAGTCTATATTTACGTGAACATAGCTGGGACGCGGCAAAACAGTAAATACCATCGACGCATATATAAAGATCAACTTACAAGAACCAATTATACTGAGGTCAATATAAACAGCACAAAGCAAAATCGTAAATATAGATAAAGAAGGATTCTATAAGAACAATTATTTAAGGTCAAGAATAGGTAAAAAAATATTTAACGTAGACTCAATGGAGATAAAAAAAATCAATAACAACCAAGAATACTGAGGTCAAGACAGAGAAAACAATGCAAGATAGTAAATGTCAACGAGGAAAGGATGTGGCGGTGAATCATAGAATAAGTGAATGCAGCAAGTTGGCAAAGAAGGATATAAAATGCATTCTTGATTGAGCGGGAGCGGTGATCCATTGGTAACTATGCAAATGACTGTGCAAACTAGTATTATATGCACAAACTGTTTTAAAAAATAAAACATATTACATTTATGCGAATTTGAAATCTGAACAGATCTCCAAATTCAGGTCAGAAGACCAGAATGTTGTCATCGTAAACAATATGGCAAACAATGCAAAGATAGTGAAAAGCTCGAAATATATCCGGGTTTATACTATAGAATTGAAAATATTGTGGAGGATGCATGTGCAAATTATCCCTGATATTACTGTTTCGCTTGGCACAATCTCGAAGATTCTTTCAAAAACGTTGAAAAATTTGAAAATGTGAAGAATGATTGAAATTGTCTAAACAACATTAGAATATTATGGAGAGTTGTCCTTGGTGTCCACTAACAACAACTAACGACGTCGTCAATCATGCATTTTCCGTCTTTATTTTCTTTTAGTATGTTTGTCTTTTGTGGAGTGGATTCATGTTGCCCTCTTCATTGCTTTGAATTCAGAGTCATCATACACTTCGACTTGCTGCCACCAAGGGTAGGCTATTCGAACCATGTCTGCCAGCGATGGTGAAGAGATGGATTCGCACCTTTTGCAAGGGCATTAATGTAGAAGGAACAAAGCAGACTATGCCAGAATTCGAACTTATAACGTGCGGGCGGAGAAAAGTTATTCGGTGTGGAAAATGTAATCGAAGAGCAGTGTTCAAATCCTGGCCTCGTTTGTTGCACCCCTTTTGTATTGATGCCCTTGGGAAAGAAAGAAATCAATTTCTTCTCCTTTAAGTTATAGATTAAATAGTAGAATAGACTTAACCTTGAGATGCCACCAGACTTTAAGAAAAATAACTTTGAATTCAAAACCGTGGGAACCATTCCACTGTCTTTTTCAAGGAGTAATGACAATACACAGATAATAAACAGAATCTGTTCACAGACAATATGGCCTGATGAGACCTGATATTTTAAAGAGAAAGACACCATATACTGATAGTGTGGAA